TCTAGCTGTATTTTCCTGCTTGTATTTTGGTGTTACATTACAATTTAAGTTGGATTAATGTATTTGTATTTGGTGTTCAATATTTATTATTTTAATGTCGCGATATTCTGCATGATTGTCTCGTGTCCTTATTATGTTTTGTGTACCATACATAATCCCGAATCTACCGTGAAAGAAAGAATGAATTGGCTTGGTGTAATAAAAAATATTCAAATTTTAGTTCGAGTACATCTGTACGTTTTTCCTCTTAAAAAAAGACAAATATCAGAAAACTCAGTTAGAGATATCATAATTACACTTTATTATAAATACAGTTTAAATTTTTTATGATATAAAAAAATTATTCGTGGCGTCATTATTATAGAATACTTTTTATGATATTTCATAATTTTTTGCATTTTTACTACCTTTGTTTTCATTTAAATAACACTTAAAAATAGTTTAATTTCAAAGTTAGAGTCACAGTAAATTTTAGAACTCTTAACAAATTTACGATATATTTTTAATTGGAGTTCTATTTAAAATATATTTCTCTTTGTTCTATACCGCAAAGCTTACGTTAATTACTATCATTCAGATATTTAGATATACACTAGGAAAACAAGGATAAACCAATACATACTGCCGTGTTTGAAAGGCAAAAGAACAAATAATAGACATTTATTGTCCTAAGCATTTATAAAACACATTGCTTAAAGTGAAGATAAAACAAATATGAAAATGTGCCTTAAAATATAATATTTATACTAGTAAATATTTAAATAATCATGAAAGAATTCAGAGAAACTTCAACGTCATTATAAATAATGAATTAGAAAGAAAATGAGAAGAAGAATTTAGCATATTAAAGTTTTAAAATAATTACTAAATAATTCTTTTATATAGTGAAACAAAGATATTTTAAAAGAACTAAGGAAAATTATCGTTAAATTTCTTACAGTTTCAAACAAGATATTATTTAACTTTTAAATACTCGTTACCCGGCTTCTTTATATTTTAAGCATGCGCACATATCAAAACAATTACTCGTAAAAACTTGCTCTATGCTCCACTCTACAGTTTCCAGCAGAGTTGTATTATCAACAATGCCAAACAATAAATTCTCTCGGAAATCAGAATTCGACATATTAAACATTATAAATAATTATGAGGTAAAAATTAATTTTTGATTTAATGAAAAGTACAGTACAGTACGTTTTCTACCGTCATGCACAGATAATTCGAGCTGAAAGAGAATTTTGTGTTGGAAATTCGAGATTTTGAATTTTTAAATACGTGTTTGTAAGAAGTTTGCCGCCCACTCTCGTCAATGTTTAAAGTGGGGATATGTAGAGCAATAGGCGATTCGACAATTCCGTGCTTCTATTCTGTTCTGTCTGAATAAAATGAGATAAATCTTTTGCTGATGTAAAAGCCACAATAAACAAACGAAAAACAAACTGTAAAACAATAGGAATTTTATAACGATTTGAAAACTGCAGAACTGCTTATGGTTTTAGAAAATATTAGTTTTTATAATACATCATTAAATAGTGTAAATAAAGCTTAGATAATAATACAAAAGCTTCGTTAAATAGTGTAAAAAATTGGAGATAATTATACAAAAAAAATCGTTAAATAGTATAAATAAATTGGAGATAATTATGCAAAATTTTCGAGTCGGTTTAATAAATAGTTTTGAAGGTACTTAATGATATGTAAATATTTTTTAAGACTAACAAATTTAATAAGATAAAACATTAGCATAATTAAAATTCTAGCTTTAAAATAGTTCATGTTCTTTAAAAATCAAACCTGGTACCAAAAAGTCAATTTTAATATCAAGCAATAATCTTCAAAGCCAATTAAATAAATGATCATTAAAGGAAATTATTCTGGTAAAGCAAATAACTGTTAATGTTATAAAATAAATTAACAGGGATCTAACTATTTCTTACGTAAAAAGGTAAAAACGCGAGTTACTTTCAAACAAAATTAAGAGAATATGAGGAAGTTTCCAACTTTTTGTTTCTGTAAATATTTATCCCTTCATGTATTAAAAGAAAAAGCTGTTGACATTGCAACGTCTTTGCATTGCTCCCAAACTAAGTACCAAGCGAGAAATGTAATAGTCCTCGCGCTTAAAAAGATGCTTCCATGAAAATGTGTTGAAGATCCTCGTGTTGGAAATGTTTTAGCTTTATACATGCATAAATATTTATTCATGCATGTATTCAAATGTACTGATGTTCGACCAAAATGATGAATTTTTTAAATACTTCATTACAGATTAAAATGTGTCTGGTGGTAGCCGCTAAGATCGAAAATTGAAACCAGTCACAAAAGGAATGCAGGCTGCTTGAGTACTAATCTTTGTATGAATACAGTGCCAGTTTCTATGAAAATGTTTCATTTTACTTCCGAATTCAACTACTAGTATGATATTCTAAATTTGAGCTAGACAACATTTTAATTTGCAATGAAGGGTTTTTAAAGAACATTCAAGATTTCTGTCGACACATCAAATTATTTATTTTTTAAACTTATAAAAATATAGAACATTTCCAGAGCGAGGATCTTACATCTTCAATACATCAATACATCTTCAGGTGAGCATCTTTTTAAGACTGAGGACTTTTTCATTTGTCACTCGATATTTAGTTTGGTAGCGTAGCAACGAAATACATTACAGTATTAACTAATAACAAATATATGATAGACATTCAAATCCAGTTTCTAACGCGACGTGCCTGGTAATGCAAAAATTACACAAGCTACTCTAGCAAAATATAAGGTGATGCTTTTTTAAGCATGCCTCATTTTTTAAATATCATTAATGATGAGTGATTGATACATAATTTTAACTTCGACTAATTTTCTTCTTTATTTAAAATACTAAGATCTATTCACCACAAGTAGAGTAGGAAAAATAAACAAATTTGGTAAAATAATAGTATACGGTACGGCCTTGGCGAGATTTTAAAAATTGTCGCCAACACTAAAATGACTCATTTACTGTTCATCATAAATACAGCTTTTACTGCTCATCTTAATATCGCCAAAAGTTGCCACATTTAACTATAAACTTTATTCGATGGTTCATACAGAATCTGAAATTTAATATTATTGCTGTTGAGCGCAACTAATGCAGATCTAAATGACTTAAAAATGAACTTTGCGGTACAAATTTTGTCTAATATAAAATTAATAAATTATACGATTTCTGTCACATTTACAAGCATGCGAAAGGCATCCGATAAACTTTAATCAGAAAAAATTTATCACATTAATATCGTTAAAAATATAGCTATCTCATCAACTTTTATTTAATTAAATGCGAATTGATTGTGTGCTAATATAAAAACTACTGTGAGATATAAATAAAAAATGTAGTAGAGAAGCCAATATAAAATTCAATAACAGCGTTAGTTGTAAATATAATATTCCGTCTTCTTACAAAAATAAATCTGCTTTGTGTTCCATTTCATTCTCTACATTAGATTCAAATTTTGTTTTATCTTGCATTAAATTTTACTGGCCACACGTAAAGAAATCTGCTAGCATTTGGAAAACAATTCCTTTAAAATATTTTTCTCCTCTACGTATGTGATATTGTAAGAAAACAAACATTAAATCAGAAATATCTGAAGTGGTCTTAACTCTTCCGAGGAATTTGCAGGATGTTCTCACCTTAACTCACTATTTATATTTATTATAAAAAGCATCATAGTATTAAAATTTAGAAATATTAATCATGGGATTTTTTATGCCCATTCTATTAAAAATGACCTTTTGCTGACAGAAATGGAATGTATAGCATTTTATATTTTTATCTAGTTCACTTTTTTTTTTTTTTTTTTTTTTTTTCAAAATTACAATAACGAAGATTTAAATAAGCATATTATAATTTTATCTGAAAAGTGCTTCCGAAAAAAACATTTGTCTTTATATATTCCTGTCAGAGTATTTTTTGTGAGTGTGTTCTGTGTGTTTCAAAAAAATATCCACATAATTCCGAAATTTATTACGTTTTTAATACTAGCCTACTTTTGCTAAATATTTATGAAATTAATGTACAGTAATACACTAAGGAATTATTAAAAGTTTTCTAATATAAGAAATAACATCATATATGTACACAGGTAAGCAAAGAAAATTATCTTAAATCGTTGTAAACTATCAACTTGAAGTAAAGTCATACGTCTCAAAAACGCTTTAATTAGTATGATAATATCGTGCACATTTTTCGCATGTAATTCTAATCAGCAATGATAAGGTGTTATTAATGATAAAGATATCTTTATTATAATGCAAAAGAATATCCTTATTGTCAACAAACAAATAAAAAAACATACCATTTTGCGTTACTACTCAGAGAGGTTAGCCTCCTAAATCGTTGATTTTCTTTCTTTAATTTTGTGTGAAAGCAGTTAATGAATATAAATAACTACAACATTGATATTTACACGCAATAGTGAAGCTGTAATATGAAATCCGGAATTTAAAGCTACAGATATGTATTAAAAATCTTGTTGTTGAGAAATATTAAGATGTTTATAATATTTTCAAATAACACACTATTACGGTTTGAAAGATGATAAAAGATGTTCCTTCGCTTGTAATTCATCTCTTCCCGTTGCCTATCTTTTTACCCTACACGATAAAAAATTTTCTTTGCCATTTAAAGCCAAGCAGTACATGTTACACAAGACATACATGAATAAATGCATACAATTATTTCTTCATTGAATAAATGGCACTATTAAATTACAGACGGTGTGATGAATTCTTAAAACCAGTTGGACAATTATTAACTAAATTAAGCACACTGTTAATTTTCAAAAAGGATTATTACAGCACCACATGAAACTATAATCAACAGTTCGCTCAAATATATCTTAATCTCATTGATTTCTACTTATCTTCGAATTGTTACGGCATGCTTCGGGATATTATGTTATGGTATGCTCCTGTGAGTAGTACGTGTTCATGCATGACCTGTTGTATCCATCCCTCTGCAGCGGTAAGCCACCCTGACCTCTATTGGTGTCGGAGCGAACCCTCTAGAAGAAGGGCCTTAACCTTTGACCTCGGTGACGGTAAGTGCTGTCCACACCCAAGCACCTACCACCAATGTGCACCTATTTGCACCTAACCTTAGGCACCGCCCTGCTTCGCATTATCGCTGCACTGTTGTAGAGTAGAATGTAGCATATCGGCACTACGAAATACTTTTAAGAGTATTTAGGTAGTCTAGAATCTCTCTTTGGGTATTTAAATAATCTGCAGCGCATTTGGGAAAGGTGTTACCTCAATAAAATAAAGTTTTACCTTTTTCAGACAGCTGATGTATATCTGCGACCAATACAAATGTTTGTCTCCCAACATACATTCGTACTGTGTACGTCAGCCATCTTTAAAGGGTTAAATATAGGTGATAAGTAACAATTCATAATCTACATAAGGCCAAAAAAACTGCAAGGAAATCGTTATTAATGCGTAATGTTAAAATGACTTTAAACCGCAATTGCATCTAAATAATAGTGAAATTCTTCTTAGTATTTAAAGAACTTTTACAATTTAACATTTACGCTAAATGTTTATGTAAGCATTAAAAGAAATGCTGTTATTGTGTAAGATAGAGTTAAAAGCACAGCTTATACTGCGCTATAGCACGCAATCAATGCTACAAAACTTAAGCTATAATTGAAATTAAAGTTATAATTATTCCTTTATGCTGTTGTATTGATTGTATAAAATTTATTGCTCTAAATGTAATGCTGAACTCAACCTGACTCATTGATTTACCTTAACTAGTTAAAATTACAATAATAATTTAATATTGATTTATTTATTAGCCTCATAAGGCTTCAGTACTTTACATAGATTTCTAACCAAGCTCTAACTTTCATTTTTGCCAATTAATTGCTTACGTAAACCGAATTTACTTAAGTAAACTGGTAAGATTTAATTATAACATCTCATTCGTTAAATTGTATTCCTTAAAAATGAGAGTCAAACAATCATAAGTAGATAAGTAGATAAATCAAAGTAGTCAAACAATCATAAGCTTAAAGTAGATATTCTACCTAAAGGCAGAGTAATCAATTAACTCATTACGTCTAAAATATATTTGCATACTTTCTTTTAAATCAATTCGTTTCTTTTGGAAAGAACAAGATGTGCCTAAAAAGTAAAAGTAAACAAAATAAATGAAATAACACTACATTTTAGTCAAAACTTCTAATAAAAGTTTAGTTATTGTACTGGAGGAAATCCATTGCATAATTTTAAATGCAATCTATTTTCTCTTCCCTTTCAATTTCAGTTGTTAATGGTTACTGTACGACTGATCGTATTTAAGCTCTTTATAGCATGTATAGAATATACTGGACACGAACACAAAGAAAACAATTATATTTCTTCTTCAAAAGCGCAACTGAAAGTAACTTTGGTGGTAAAAACCGGAACTTTTTACACAGAAATATTAGTTGAATCTGTACTAATACGCATGAAAAGTATGATTTTAGATAAAGGGTACCCAATTAAATATTACAGACGCGGAAAAACTTAGTAGGCTGAAAGAAAATATAAAAATTATTAAATTTATTTATGAAAAATAAATGTTTCAATTGAATGGCAACAATTTAATACTTTGTATAGAAATATTTTGCTTTTCTAAGAACTTTGATACGATTAAGAATCCATTGAGTATTTACAGTTTCTTAATATTCTTGTATCTTGTTTGAATAAACTTTCGAATGATTATTCTGTTATTTTTCGATATTTTTCAGGAAATGAACTGCTAACACAAAGCAACACAATACTTCAACGTTATATTACTTAGAAAGAGGAAGCATTTTTCTCTTTATGATACGGTGCTTTTTATATATGAAACGATAATATGTTTCAGAAAACAAATCTCACATTTAAGGCAAAAAAGTATTTAATATTTCTCCATTGAATTCCAAACCATTACTGAGATTGTATGCATTATAGTTTTGTCAATGCGCTCCAACTTAAAGACGTGTCCTGATCATCTACAATAATATGATGTGTTTTTCTTTATTGATAAAGATTAACTACTCATTAAAACTTATCTAAGGGTAATTAGTTACACTTCTCTGATTTTGTAATCATGAAAACATAAATATATTAATAAGTAAGAGTAAATAAAATGAAAAATGAAAGGTATAAAAAAGGCCTCAATTATCATTCGTAATATAATATAAATGACCGTTTTACTTACCTTATTCTATGCTATTACATTTTAAGCATTTCAACCGAAATGTATCTCCTTTTAACAAACACAGAATTCTTTTTTTCTACGCTTGCAAACTTTTCATTTTTGTTATTAAATAATGCTCTTCTTCCAATCCTAGCCGACATATCCAAATTTAGACTAGTTGATTGATACACTCTGTAACCTAAAACGCGACGCACCATAAAGGAACTTACCCGATTGGGACAAAGGTCAGTAGATGTGATGTAGACTACGCCAAAAAAAAAGGGGGAGGCAGTTCTATGTCTCCCGTTCTACTGAGCCGATTGACAAAATTCAACTTCCGTTTTTAATGTCTCGAAAGAGGGACTTAGGATATGTACTATTAGATTAAATATAGCATCGTTCTAATATAGGTATTTTGACACAAAATCTGACTTTTTCTGAAAAGACATGCCAATGTTTTCCATATTTCGATTATACGACTCAAATTAAGCCAGCGTGCCAAGTTTTCTAAAACTCGCACGAGTAGCTTTCAAAAAATTAGCTCTCAAAAGTTAAGCTCCTCAATGTTAACTGAATTTGATACATATTTATTAATATCTCTTTTTTTATTAAACTTATTCTTACTTTCATATTTCGAAAGTTAGGGGTTCATTCCAAATAAAATTCGACCAATTTTTTATGATTTATTTAAAAAATAATTTTAATAAATTTTTCGAAAAAGATTTTGAATTACAACCTATAACATTTTTGGTATCATTTTAAAGTAGATGTATTTGCATTTCTAAGCATACCTGCAAAAAATTAGAGCGCGTTTTGAAAGCTGGCGTATTTATTATAAGCGATAATAACTAAAATGTGTTTACGCACTTTGTTAAAATTATTTGAAAATATGAATTGTTAAAATTATTTGAAAATATGAACGAAGACTTTTTTCGTACAATGATAAAAGGAAAAGGAAAATAGGTTTCTATAAATTAAGAAGTTCGCCAAGTGAATTATTGAAAAAAAAGCGCCAAGATAAATTTTTTAATTTCTCCGTAAATTTCGCACCACATTTTACAAATTTAATATTTCGGCATAATTTGAGTCGTAGAATTGAAATATGGAAAAAATGGGCATGCCATTTCAGAACATGTCCGATTTTGTGTCAAAATACCCATATAAGGGCAATGCTATATATAAATCTAATGTATTATAAGTCGCGCTTTCGAGGCATGAAAAACGCAATTTGAATTTCGTCAATTGGCGTAGTAAAACGGGAGATATAGAAATGTCTCATTTGTTTTGCTGAGTGTACATGTACTGAAAATAAATTTCTGACAGCATCATAGGAATTGAATGTTTTATTCAGAAATTGGAGCTAAAGAGCCAAAAAAATCAATAATGCGTTGGCCCACCTCAGGTCTTGATGAAAGCTGTTATCCGCCTGGGCACTGGGGTCGTAGAGTTGTCCTCCTGCAAGACTGCTTGCCATACAGATTCCAGCTGGCAGATCTAGCGACGATCGGAGACGACTGTTGATAAAAGTCTGATACTGGGGGAGAAATATGGTGATCATGCCGGCTAGCGAAGTGTAGGAGAAGCACGAAGACACGCAGTAGAAATGTATGCCGTGTGCGGTTGGACATTATCCTGTTGTGATTTAAGCCCAAGGGTCTGTGAAAGCAAGGACAACACTACGATACGTAGAATCATATCGACATGCCGCCATGCTGTAAGGATGTCGCGGATGACAACCAAAGAAGTCTCGCTATCAAAGGAAATGGCACCCATACCATTACTTCGGGCAGCTGGGCTGTGTGCGCACGACAGTCAGGTGGGTAGGCCACTGCTATCCTGGACGTCTGTAGAACATCCTCGCTGGTCATCAGGGCCCCGGGTCTGACGTCACTACAGACATACCTAACGGTGTGCAGCGTTGAGGGGCAGTCGGCGCAATGGCCTCCTGACCTCAGCCCTTTCACTGATTCGCCTATCATTGCAATCTGTTGATCATTGTTACTACTGGTGTCTTAGCTAAACGTAGGTTCGTTGGTAAAAACGCATATGACTATGAGCATCGATAGGATGATCACTCCGCCCTCGCGTTCCGGCGTCAATCCTGCTTGAACGATATCTTCTTGTTGCTTTGTACGAACATAGCTCAAACATTCCTGTCAAAACTGTCGAATAGTAGAACCGCTCTGATGCAAAAGTCCAGCGATCTTGCGATTTAATAACTCTGCTTCCTTTAGTCCAATTGCATGTCCTCTCTCAAATGATGATTTCTGTCCTTAGTGTTCGCGAACTCGTCTGAGAGATATTGGTACAGTCCACTTTGATTGACAAAATCATATCCGTATTGAAGGTATGCATTATATTGGAATGTCATTTGTTTTATATACCATCGGGATAAATAGACGCTAATCCACCACTCATAAAGTGGGAAGGGCATCCACTGCGACGCCAGGATACCATTAAATACCTCGGATTCACGCTTGATAAGAAGCTCACGTGGGTATCACATCTTACGGAAGTCCGAGATAAGACGCATCGAATCATCAATAAACTAAACAGGATAATCAAAGACAAGGGAGCCAAAAGGGGCGCCTGTTAAAACATCTATACTTTAATGCAATTGAACGCATGATCCTCTACGGCTGCCCAGTCTGTATGAATGGCACAGCAAGAATATGTCAAAAACTACATCAAATACAGCGAGTAATCCTGTTAAAAATCACCAGTGCGTATAGCACCACATCAACCGCAGCACTTCAGGTTTTAGCTGGCACGCTCCCACTCGACCTAAAAGCAGAATTAGAAAGATCAATCTATCGACTTCTACATTACAAAGAGGACCTTCACACTAAAAAAGATTTACATCTATCCTAT